AGTCTTACCTGTGCATCAATTTTGAGACCCTTCTCTGTTGGGGATCCTTCACTATAACCATACCTACAATAGTTTGAATGTTAAAGAAAATCATGAAATATAAACTTGATAATATTCGATAATATTCTTACCCTCTATAAGATAACATTACAACATTACATTTGAAATCATTATAGAATCTTTCAGCAATCGGTATACAATGTCCCTTTATTTTAAAATAATGATAATTGATTAAGTTTCCGAATAAATAACTACTGTTCTTTGACAATAATGATAGTGTAGATACAGTACAAGGTTTCCTGCATTGCCCTAAAAAAAAGAAAACAAAGAAGTTATATTCCTGTAAATATCCATGCAAAATATAAACAATAATTAATACGCACATGAAACATTAAAATAGTAGGTTGACCACGAGCTCTATGATCATTAACTTGTTGTAAAACATAAATTCGTATTTTTACTTTATCTTGTGTGGGCAAAACAACTTCGTCGTAGTTTAAAATCCCATAATCTGATGGATTCGGGACCTTATTTTTTTTAATTTATTCGGCGAATTAAAAATTAATTGTGAAAGAAAAAAGAATGAAATTTTTTCACACATACGTATTCCCTTGATCCGTCTGGATAATCTGAAAGATATAAAAGATTACATTGGATAGATCCAATAAATGACATGCCAGCAACAAAGGATTTAAAATATCTTGAAATTCCATCCATCTTTTTTTGAACTATTAACTATATTGAGTACGATTTTTTTTTTTCAAAAATAAATGAAATAATTCATATTTATATGAAACCCTTTATTGGTTTAAAAAAATGAAAAAAAGATCGTCTGTGCATTTTCCAACCTTATGGAAGAGAACCAAATTAGGAAAACAGTAACAAATATTAATTAATTAAGGAAAATTATGAAATTCCAATATTATGGTATAGGAAACTTGGCATAAAATAGAACTCTAAGGAAACAAATAAGGAAAAACTATGTGGCTTAAGAACTTAAATTTCTGCTTGTTATTAAAAATAATGCTAAAAATGCTAGATGAGTAAGCATATAAATTATTATAATAATTTACACATTTTAATTGTTTAAATTGACATTTATTAATAACAACGCATTCACATTACGAGTGGGGTCGATTGTTAAATAAAGAACTCAAATGTATCAGTACAGTACTTTACGTAAACTGCATGAATCATATGATATTCACAAGATAAGAATTCATTTTTGCAATGAAACCGGAGTGCATATGTATGTATATGTATGTACATACGTACTACAGTATATCGATATCCCTAATTGGTTTGTATTTATCACATTATCGTTATAGTCCTGCTCTGGTTACCGAATTTGATTGGTTAACTAGGTATTACCGTTACGGTTTAAG